TGTGTGCAGAATGAATAAGTACAAGCTGTAGTCATGCTTTTGGTGACAGGGCCAGGGGTTTCTGTCGCTCACCTGTGCTAGCAGTGCCCCTCAGTCGCAGGGGCTGTGTCCCCCATCAGACACACACTCATCCATCCTTCTCTCTGTCCCCAGCCTGTCCCCCTCTGTCCCATCCTGCCTCTCTTCCTGGTGTCAGGGTGCCTTCACACTGGCCATATCGATCCCCTCGCTGCTGCCTTCCTCAGATCCTCACATACGGTCCCAGTAAAGAGATGCTTACAGCTACACCGGACCCTTTGTCCCCCGGGAATGGGGACAATAATCGAATTCCTCAGCGATGGGGGGGGGGGGTGATGCTGAGGGTGGTGTGGGCTGGAATGAGGCTGATTGTGGCTCAGAGGAGAAGCCCGACATCATGATCTGGATGAAGGTAAAACCAAATGAGGGAGGGAGGTGTGACCAGCGAGGGTTAAAGTGATGTCAGGGGCAGGATGGGGGTCAAACTGGTTAAACGGGTTCAACATTAAACCTTAATATCAGTCTCCTGTCCAGCAGATGTGGAGAATGTCCACATACAGTTGGGCTTCCTGGTTTACTTTGTGCAAGAATTCCTGGGTTGAGGAGCTGGCAGTGGATCCCCCTGCGAGATAGATGGGCCATTCCCATTTCTTTCAAATGCAATCTGGACACACAAATGGAAGGGGTCATGGAAAAATATAGGGTTTTTTTTTTTTTGCAAACCCCTGATGTACAGAGTAAAGGTAACCTGCAAAAACAGAGGCATGCCTGAACAGAGACGGTTATAAGATCATTTAAAAGATGCTTAAAATGTTCTAACTGAAGATGCGGTAAATAAACCAAAGAACAGGAAATGTTATAGTGAGATAAGTCTGAGTGTGTCATGTCAGAACAAACCCAGCAAGAAAAACTGACATATCCTTGGTGAGGAGAATCTTCCCCACCAGCATGCCTCAGTCATTGTGGGGTTTTGCACCATATTATGGAATCACAGGTGTTTTCATTGCAAATTCCCAGCATATCCAGAGTTTTGTATTTTAAACTTTCCCTTTCCTCGGTGTGGGGTCAGTTTAACCCTCCGATGCTCATCCTGTGTTACAGGGCCTGCAGTGGGCTGTTAGGATGAGAGCAGCCGGATGCTCTGGCTACAGATGCCATCGCAGCCCCGCCCCTCTGTACCTACTCCCGCCCTCTCTCCATGGCCCCACCCATTCCCACCTAGCTCCGGCCAATGACTCCTTCCCTGCTGTAGTGAGGTTAGTTACCCCAAGAGAAATGCCTGGAGACTGAGGGAGCTTGCAGTGTCCAACCTGCATAAACTAGCTGTTTCTTTTGCAGACTCTTGGCTCACTTCCCTATCTCTACACCTTAACGTCGAGACACTGCATGCCCCCCTTCTGTTTATCCCAAAAATATGTGGTGTCCTTGGCCCCCAGCACCCCAGGCCTGAGCGTCCAGGATTCTTCTCTCTGGAACAGCGTGGCCTTCATTAATGGTGGCCTTCAGCTGGCTGCCCATGGCGCGTCTGCCTGCCATCCAGACCGAAGGGAGCCGCACGTGTGCCATCATCTCCGATGGCGGAAACAGAGCCGACCTTGAGACTTTCTGATCATCGGCTGGATGGAAACCCGACCACATCCACGCCGGGCTCCGCTGAATAGCACCCTGTCTGTGACCTCAGGTCCGCTAGTAAAAGGTTTTGTGAAGCTGGCCGGTTATTTTATTGCTTCAAGTTCCCATTTCTTCAGGCAGAAAATAACTTTTTGTTTTTAATAATCTCAGACAGGACCAATGACCATAACATGTTCAGCCCAGGCATCCACTCGGCAGAGGGAGCGGCCGGCCTCCCAAATAATGCTGTGTAATCCTCCTGTCCATAAGCTGATCTCATGGTCCAATGGCTCAGGGTTCGAGATGGGGTTCTGCCAACATGCTTTTGTCACATGTTGCCTAACCTCTTGTGTGTGATCTCAGGTTTTTTCAGATTAACCCAGACTAATGTTCAGGGTTCAGGTACCTGTGGCTCTCTCCGCTCTCTCCTCTTCCCACAAATTTGGATAATAGTGTTCCGCGTCACACGAGAGACAAGCCCTGCATAAAGAGCCAAAAGAGACTCAACCTCAGCAGTTGTCTCTTCTTCATATTGACATTATATGAAGCCCAATAATGTGGGCGTGTCCAACAGAGTCAGCTCCTTTCAGAGGCTCTTTGTGTGCCCCCAACAGGTTAATCTTTGTTAACTCGTTTCAGACTAACTGTCCCTGTCCCAGGCTACCATTCTGTGCATGTATTTAGAGCTGGGCAGCAGGTGGTGTAGTGGTTAAGAACACACACTCAATAGTCTCAGTATAGAAAAGTCCCAAATAGTCCCAATAGCAGCCCTGCTATAATAAAACTTGTACGTTGTTTTGGATAAAAGCTTCCTGTAAACAGGCAGGTGTAGCATGTATAAACTCCTTGTTTCAGACGCTGGTTTCAGACCCTGGATGGACGATCATGGTTTCCTCCTTCAGATGCTCAGGCTCTCGGCAGCTAAAAACCACGCTGAACATTTTGAGTTCATTTTTGCTAGACAATTATCATTTTAAAGCATTTCGACATTTTCCAGAATACAACTGCAAACAAAGGCGCAATCGACAGTGGCCACTACACGGCAGCAGATAAAAAATTACTATAAAACTATAAAACAATGGAAGAAAATTAGTTGTTACTAAGTGCTGTTACTGATCTTTCTGTTCATCTATCTAACTGCTTCCCCTGATCAGGCTTGCTGGGCATCTTACTGACATAACCAGAAGATTTGCCTAGACCCCCTACAACGTTAACACAGGTTGTGGACTCCTGGATCAATGTAGGTTTTGATGTGCAGCTTTTGGCAGTAACCTATAAACACATGCCACCTTGATATTTTTCAGGAATGCATTTCCTTATCGTGCCAGATCAATTTCAGTTCCACATTTCAGATGAAGGGAGTTTAACCCTGATCTCATAAAGCGATTATATTGTAACATCAGAATTCAATCACTGCAGTCTACACTTGGTTATTCATTTATTTTTAAGTTACACCTTGTTACATCTTTTCCACCTGGGAAAATCATACCAGTATATAAAGTTCTCCGAGTCATTCCCTATATACTTTAATGGTGTGTGGAGAAAATTATATTCAAATGAAAGAAAAATATGTAGAAGATTATACAGCACCGCAAGCCTTCGTTTAGTGACAGCTGAACCATGAGTCTGTTTTCCGTTTCTATTTCATCTGCAGCAGCAAGCCCGATACGACTCTTTCTTTTGTCACAGCAATACAACGAGACGGTAAATAACTCCTGAAACATGAACTGGAGCAAAGATTTCTCATAATCAGCTTTAATCTAGGCATACAGGACTTGTTCTAGCGCGTCTGCAGAGTAGCGTCGTTAATATCCACTTTTGACGCGGTTCTTACTGTCGAATCTGCGGCGGTCGGACGGACACGCTGCACTACTCAGCACGGCCACTAGATGGAAACAGATTCTCCCCCCTCATCTGAGCCACAGTTGAACCGTATTTGTGTTGCAGTTGCGCGATTGTTTTCTTCTGCCTTTATTTTCTATCAAGAGACTTTGTTGGGCGATGGCCAAAGAAGTGAATATTTTGAAGCTGTTGGATGATAAACTTCCTCCTGTAGCCTAATGGCATGGATACGATTGCATGCGAATTTATTGGTTCTGTGGGAAAGTCCTCGGGGATGTCAAAGTATTTTTCTTCAGTTTGTTCCAGTTTGATGAATCTACTGTTGTCGGAACATATCCAGGCGGTCTCACAAGTGTCAGACACACACGTATGGGTTAGGTAACTTAATCTCTTTGTTCTCTTCTGCATTATAAAAACCACAACGGGCCTTCGGAGGAAAAGACACCTGGAATGGCAGAGCAGGTGTGAGCAGCCCTGTATCTGCAAAGCCCGAGTCGGGAGGATTATCCATGGCGAAATTACACATATCTGAAGGAAGGGCAAAAAGTGAAAACCGTAAATTCTGCTGCCTACTTCTACTTGGAAACTCAATAAAACAGTGTTGCAATTGCATTCTCTGGTGTAAATAGAATACTTTGGCACGATAGACATATTTTACGCAAATGCAGATCCCTGACCAGGATAAAGAACATGCAGACCTTCCAGATGTAAAAACGAGTTTGGCGTGATTTGACTAGTGATTAATATTTATAATTGGTATTTGACCCAGTCATGACCCCTCGGTATATTACAACACTAATACAGCTGCATTTCGGCAATTTTACACATTTTGAGTTATACAAGCTTTTTTATTTTTTTTACAACGGTTGGGCGAAGTTTAATTAAGAGACTGTATCTATTGTCTCTGATTATAACCTGTTGATAGAACTTTCGCTTAAAGGTCTCAAATTTGGCAGATAAGGTTCTAACTGTAACGTTAATGGAACAGTATTTTCACATTTTACATTTTAACAAAGGTTCTGTCAATATTAACACGATAACCTTATTTTCTGAGCATCATTTGAACATAGTTAATGTTGAAATAAAGATTTATAATAAAACGTAATTTATGAAAGTCCAACATGTGTATACTCAAATGCACCGTCCAGCCTTGAGCCCAGTACCTTACAGGTTTGCAGTGTTACTCACTGCCCTTAGTTGTAGGCTAGTGTTTGTCGTAGCGGGATAAAGTTCTGTGAACATCAGGAAAACTGGACACTTTGAACGTTTACATACCTTAATTGTAACATTCGGCAAACGTTCCTAGAGTGAAGCATCATTAGCTGGGATAAATGTTATTAATTTTTATTGAAAATACTTAAACATTTGCCCAGTTATTTCCCAAGCCATGTATTCAGGACTCATCATAGGATTTAATGGAACGTATCTAAAACACTAAACCTTTAAATACGTTCATCCACTAACTGCATTTACAGTTTTAAAACGTCACTGCAGCACGAGGACAGTGGGCTGGCTGCAAACGCACCAATTAAACAAAATGCGGAGGAGCGTGTGACTGAAGGCGCCTCGGGCGGGTGTGTGCGGGCTGGTTTAAAAACGCCTATTTTGGTCAGTCCAGGAGGAGCGACCCACCGCGCCGAGAATCACACGCTCAGTGTTCGCGGCGATGGCCACGGATGGGCCGGTCAGCTCTGCTTAATGCGTCCGATATAGTGAACTGCTGCAATCCAAACACGTGTTGACTCCGATTAGGCTTATATATGAACTTTTAGGTGAAATTTTAGGACGAGACGTCGAGTATGAAATGAGCATAAGGACGAGCTTGTTGGAGCGCTGCTCTCCAGGCACCGGCTGCCTCGTCCAGGATTCACGCACTAAGAGTGAGTCTCTCTTTCACTTCGGAGCTCTGCAGTAAAACACATACGTCCCGTCGCGAATCTACAACCCTCGACCTTTTTTTTTCTCGAATTAGTTGTAAATATTTGTTGTTGGTTTTTAAGGAATTGATTCGATATTTCTACTGTTATTTTTTTTTTACAGAAGGAAGATATGCTGGAGTAACACGAATGTTGTAACTTGCCTTCTCAGGAAGGACCGCGCAGAGCAAAATCGCTTTGAAATAACGGTGTATTTTTTTCGTTGATTTAACTTTTTGCTCTACATGGAATACCCTAAATCAACCTCCCATTTTGTACATTTTCATTAACAACATTGACCATGGGAGATTTTTATTTGAAGATGGTGCTTTTACTTTGGTGTCAGCTTGTGGTGGCGGACTCCAGCCTGGAGATGTATGACATAGAGCTTGGCAGGCAGGCAAAATGTGAGCCCATTGTCATTCCCATGTGTAAGGGCATTGGGTACAACATGACTAGGATGCCCAATTTCATGGGGCATGAGGATCAGATGGAGGCAGGCATCAAGCTCAACGAGTTTGCCCCTCTGGTTGCATATGGCTGTGAGCCGCACCTGGGCTTCTTCCTCTGCTCACTCTATGCCCCCATGTGCACAGACAAAGTGTCCACCTCCATCCCTGCCTGCCGGCCCATGTGTGAGCAGGCCCGTGAGAAGTGCTCTCCCATCATGGAGAAATTCAGCTTCTCTTGGCCCGACTCACTGAACTGCTCCAGGCTGCCAACCAAGAACGACCCCAACGCATTGTGCATGGAGGCCCCAGAAAACGGTACCAAGGTTGAGACCAAGAAAGGCGAAGGGATGCTTCCTGTACCCCCCAGGCCCCGACAGGCTGTCACTGGAAAGCTGAACCCCCCCGGCAGCCTGGGGTCCTGCGAGAACCCAGAAAAGTTCCAGTACGTGGAGAAGAGCCGGTCCTGTGCTCCACGCTGCTCCTCTGCGGTGGATGTCTTCTGGTCCAGAGAGGACAAGGATTTTGCATTCATCTGGATGACCGTGTGGTCCACCCTGTGCTTCATCTCCACTGCCTTCACGGTGCTGACTTTCCTCCTGGACCCACCCCGATTTCAGTATCCCGAGAGGCCGATCATCTTCTTGTCCATGTGCTACAATGTCTACTCCGTGGCCTTCATCATCCGATCGGTGTCTGGCGCAGAGAACATCGCCTGCGACCGGGAAAATGGTGAGCTGTACATTATTCAGGAAGGGCTGGAGAGCACAGGCTGCACCATCGTCTTTCTCATCCTCTACTACTTTGGCATGGCCAGCTCCATCTGGTGGGTGGTGCTCACGCTGACGTGGTTCCTGGCAGCCAGCAAGAAGTGGGGTCACGAGGCCATCGAAGCTCACAGCAGCTATTACCACATGGCCGCCTGGGGCATCCCAGCCATGAAGACCATCATCATCCTCACCATGAGGAAGGTGGCCGGCGACGAGCTGACGGGATTGTGCTACGTCGGCAGCATGGACGTCAATGCCCTCACGGGCTTCGTCCTCATCCCGCTGGTCTGCTATCTCACCGTCGGTACCTCTTTTATCCTGACTGGCTTCGTGGCCCTCTTCCACATCCGGAAGATCATGAAGACGGAGGGGACCAACACCGAGAAGCTGGAGAAGCTCATGGTGAAGATCGGCGTCTACTCCGTCCTGTACACCGTGCCGGCCACCTGCGTCATCATCTGCTACTTCTACGAGAGGCTCAACATGGAGCACTGGAAGCTCAGGGGACTTTCCAGCAAGTGTTTCCGTTCCCGAGGTCACAGGAGCGAGGACTGCTCCCTCGGGGCCTCGCTGCCCGCAGTGACGGTGTTCATGCTCAAAATATTCATGTCCCTGGTTGTGGGCATCACCAGCGGGGTGTGGGTTTGGAGCTCCAAGACGCTGCAGGCCTGGCAGAGCCTGTGCAGCAGGAAGATGGAGGCGAGAACTCACCGGAAGCCCTGCGGTGGGGTCAGCTGCAGCAGCATGCATTGCCACTACAAAGGACCTGCAGTGCTGCTCCCCGTAAGCAAGGCGGAGCCGTACTCAGACTGCCCTGCGCACGTGTGATTGGTCAAGGAGCCCCTGGCTGGTGGACTGTGTTTATCTTCAAGGAGACTTGACTTACCACGGGGCTGGACTAAATCTGACATAGCTGTACATGGAACTTACCGGACTTCCTGCTTTGTTTACTGCTGACGTCAAAATGACTCATTTATTATAATCCAAAATAGAAACAATATAGACAAATGTACAATATTTCTCTCAAGTCGAAAGTACAGATATTAGTGGTTTGTGAAAGACACCGTGCTTGTTTGCAGTTGGACACAAGAAATTGGATTTCAAAAGAATAAACTTAACATTCTGCCGAAATTGTAGAAAAAGAACACGTATAAATGTTAAAAATTTACATTTTATTTATTCTGTATTTAATTTGTCTGCCGTTTGTATGTATTGTGTATATACACTTCTTGTAAAACCTTAATTTTGAAACCTACAGCGAAAATAAGTGCCTTAATAAAAATTTTATATTTTTGAAATATTACTGCCCTGTTTGCAGCTACTTGGACTATTAACTCACAAACGCTGATGAGCAGGTGTGTAAGTCTGTCCGTCTGTCTTTGTCTTATTTGGTTGCAGTGGCCGATGCATGTAAATCGCAGTTCGTGAAACTAGGACTCCAGTAAGGAAATAGTGTTTAAATGTGCTGTGAAGTGTATGTTAGACAGCTCTGTCCTGTGCACCAGTTCACACCATCTTTAGGTTTCTCCCGTTTGAATTTCCACCCAAACACTGTGATTGCTTGCAAAGAAGTTGTGCTTTATATTACATAAGCGGTTAACAGCGTGTATTGTGTGATGCCTGTCTTGTCCACGATTTGGTGTTTACTTCCGTTCAATCGAACCATGACAAATTTTTGTGATCTTAAGTTTCGAATCTGTGTGTGTCAGGAGACATCACCCATGAGTAGATTCAATCGCTGATGTGCATCTATCAGGAATGGTGTGTGTGTGCCCTGCGATGGGTTGGTGCTCCCCATCCCGGATTGTTCCCTGCCTTATGCCAATAGCCTTCTGGATAGACTCCAGATCCACCGCTACCCTGAATAGGATAAACAGTTATGGATGATGGATGGATGGATGTGCATCTGTCATTTCTGCTAAGACCAGCTCCTAATAGCCATGTTTCTCCAGTCAGAATTGTTTGCTTTTATGCGGCGATCCATCCATTTTTATTAAGTTATCTACACTTTATACTGCAAACGTTGAGACGGCACTGATAGGCCATTGTGGAGAGACTGGAGGTGACTGATCCATGGTGCTTTGCTGTTTTGCTGGTCTGGTTTGACCCTTAAACTGGGCTGTTGGTGCTGGATTTGCATTTCTAACATCGCCAGGGTTTTCTAACACGAAACTGTTTAATAAGGGCAGAGTGGCACTCGGGTTTCTTATCTAGGACTGGATATCAAAAGAATGTTTGAAAGCATAACAACCAGATTTACAGCCATTTGTATAACCATTTTACAAGCATGGTTAGGTTTCCTGTCTTCTGTGATCTTCCAGACCAGAGCAGCTTACTCTTAGTGGGGTCCCTGGTTTCTCTGCACCAGTCAGCCGTCTGTTAATGTCTGTTAAACAGAACCGAAGAGAGCTTCTCTGCATGGGTGGTGTTGAATTTCTCTCTCCCATAATTAACCTTGCTTTGTTTGTCTCCAGCCGCGCACACCACATCTCCTGCCCGGCAGCTTCTAATGTCCCGGCTCGATACCCCATTAAATCTCTGTTTGTTTTGGAAAGGCCTGCAGTTCCCGGCACACGCTGGCACGCCATCGCTATGAGGCCTGCCATGCGCGCGCGTGTGTGTATGTGCATCACCCCCAGTGTTAACGGCGCTGCCATTCCTGCACAGCCAGACCCGGCCAGGACCCGACCCAAGGTTGCCAGCTGGTTAGATACAGGATGCCCTTACTGCTGGTCTGAAGGTGGGGGTGGCATATCTCTCTAAAACAGTGGTTTTCAACTGGTTTATCTTTCAGATCCACTTTAGTCCTTGGCCATAAAGTCACAACCAAAAGTCATTAAAAATTATCGGTGGGGGGGGTGGGGTGCTGGCCCAGTTGAGAGATGCTGCTCTAAGGCCATAAAGCAGGCCCCCCCAGCACCCAAAGAGTGACACCAGGGCTCTCCTCTAGGAATTTCTCCAAGTAGCACGTGAGTTAAGTGTTAAAAGTTTGTAGTACACAAAACATTATGATGGCATGTGAAAAAGAAAAAAAAAAAGATCAGTGACTTTCAGGGAAACACTCTTCCACAAGGTCCAAGAAAGATACTGACAATTACCAAGGTTTTATTAAATTAGTAAGTCAGTAAATCTATTCTATAGATTGATTCAAAACAGAGCAGTAATTAGCCAGTTAATTGAATGTACAAAATACACACAAAGGGAGTCTGCTCTGATAAATCCATGCTCACAAACAGGATGTACAGATCCATGCAGATCCATGCAGATCCATGCGCATGCACACATACACTCCCCCCCCCCCACACTTTACTATTGCTAACAGTGCTAATATCATACCCATCACCACCCCCTGCGGCCTGAGCGACGCGCTCATGGACCCCTGTCATCACTCCTGTTGATTGAGAGATCAGAAGGCCTGGATTATGTAGGTCAGATGTTTGTGAGAGTTCAGCTGCCATTGTGATTCGGTTGCTAGGCAGTCAAGTGTTTTATGTGTCCCCCCCTCCCCCCCCCCTCAGGGAGAGATGCTCATGGAGAAGAACAGAAAAACAAGAAGACAAACCCCTGCATCTTTATCACTCCTTAGTGAGTGACTGACAGCCCGGAATCCCCTCCCTCTCTTATATGCAGCTGTAGTCGGCCCCAGCGACGGGGTGTTGCGCTGTGACATCACGCTGTTTGTGTGGTTGTTCTGGAATGTTCTCCAGAGGGTGCTTGCTATTAGCATTTACTGGTCATTTGAGTATCAACTGAGGAGAGTCGGCAGGCCACAGGAAGCCTGTCAGTGAGGTTAAACATGAACATTTCGCTTGGGCAGTGTGTGAAGGTAATAAGGTATGTAAGATGCCTGCTCGATTAAAAAAAATTAAATAATAGGAATTCAAGGGTTCTTTCCAGTGGTCTTTTGCTAAGAGAATTATTCATTATTCTTTTCCCCACAGAATTGAGTCATGCTTTGCTATCTTGAGATTGACCTTGACCGATGTACTGAAGGATATAATTAGGGTGCGCTCCCCCAAGGGGTGTACAAAGGGCCTTTGCCTGGGGGGTACAGAGAGGCCGTTGTGCGAAGGCCGAACTCCAAATAGGAGAGAGTCCTCAGTGGCTAGATGCTCCCAGGCCTGACCCTTCGTGTTATAATCACAAGCTGAGCTCTGTTGCCGGTGCCCCCTGCTGGACAGGCCGAGCGAAGCCCGTGGCTTTGGAGAATGGGCAGAACTCCTCAACATGGCTAGCGGCATGCAGGTCAGCCCTGAATTTAGCCCTTTAGTCTGGCCCAGGTGGTACCTGTTTGGCGCACACTGAGATGGACTTTAGACCCCGTACACATGGGACAGCTTCAGCCACCATGGAAGGAGAAACCCTGCACCAAAGTCCACTTTCTGCTGGGACATGGAGCAGCCCAGTTACTCTGATGTGACCTGGGACTGGTCCAATGCAGAATCAGCCCCGTGTGGCAAGTTAGGCCAAGTGGGCCAAATGGGCTCCTTGGTACCAGTTTCCCAACCAGTGGCCTAGTTGCCTTGGAGCCTGGTTTGCATCACCCCTGTGTGACCATTTCAGCCCAGACAACGATTCAGTTGGGTTCCTCAATAACTGGTGATGTGGACATTGTGAGCATTCCTGGGGTTTGGACTGTGGCTTTTCTGGGTTATAAAACAGTCTTCCTTTGACACCTGGCAATACAAGTTCAGCCCCCACTCTGTCTTATTTGGAGGGGGCACAGCCTTGGAGAGCAGGATCATTAATGTTCAGCAACCGAGTGCTGACGGATTGGCCCCCGTCGATCGGAAACGGCTGCTCTGTAATTATGCGTGTGGGTTTCGGAAAGAGATGAGAAGTGCCGCAACTTTATTATCATGGTCAGAGTTATTAGGAATCACAGATCGCCTGGAACTGAGAGGTGGATTCTGGGAAAATGAAAGGAGGAATACTGCAGATTACCATAGCCTGAAGCACCATGACAGACTCATGACTCTTGGGGGACTCTCAGTTTAGTGATGTCTCTCACTCCTTCATTCTATGTGGGGGGGGGTGAGCAGACATGTCGGGGTTTGACACTAAAACAAACTCTGCGGGGGACATGGAACGCGATCTCTGCGTTTGCGTTACCGCTGCTGATCCCCTTTCAGAGGGGGGTGCCCCTGGCTGTTTGTCTTGTAAAGGGAGACACTTGGCACTCTGTCCTGCTGTTTTCCGTTGACTTTTAATTAAAAGCTAAATCGCTGCTGTGGGCTGAGCGGGGGGGCGGGCACTGGTGTGAAATCTCTCCCTTTGTTTTCCGTCTCTGATCAGGCGCCTCAGTCACTCGATCCCGTCGGCTCTTTGGATCTCACCCATTCTCTGGTCCCACACCGGGTCCCGGTCGGCCCACATTACCGGAACGCTAATATTTATAAGCGTTTGGTCTTTGTGTAGGTATATTCATGGCCAAAAAATGACATCTCTGTTTTCTTAAGGCACAGTAGATTGATTGTGTGTTTGGGGAATTGCAGTTTGACCCTGGAACAGGCTGCTCTTCTCTGCGTCACTCCCGGCATGATTTTGCACTGGCAACTGACCGCAGAATGATTAACAGGACTATGTCCCCTCAGTGAGCCTTGACCTAAGAGTCGTCCTGTTGGCCACACCCCAAGAGGCCAGTCTGTCGGTGTCCCCCGCGGTTTGGCTGCGAGCTCCCCCCCACCCCCCCTTTTATAAGATATTTCCTGGTCCCTTGGCACTGCCTGGCATTCAAAGGAGTCTTTCATGGATCTGTGGTGAGCTGCCCTTCACTTTCTGGCTGACGGGACGCTGAGGAACCCAGACAGGTCCTAGAAACTCTGCTGCTGCTTGTTGTTTTTTTTGGGGAGGGGGGCGTTAAGGAGGTTGAAGTCACAGACACTGAAATCCTCATTCAGTCCTCAGTGTCTGAAACCAAGAAATGCAACTGAGTGAGATCAGTTTCTTGACAAAATAAACAGGAGCACCATTATGGTGCAGCTTTTTTCATTAAAGTGTTCATGTTTCGCCCGTGTCGGGAAGCTGTAGGAAAGAGAGCCGGGCAAATTTGGGCCCCTTTACTGCATAATACATTCCATATGTAGGCTGAGGGTGGGCCTTCTCAAGCTGCGTTAATGAGTCATTCACGAAGCTCAGCGTGTGATGGCGAGAGACAGCGGCTGTTCCTGGGTAGGATTGGAAAATGGGGGACAGGTCAGGCTGAGAGGGACGCCGCAGGATTGCGTGTAACGGCTGATTGCTGCGGCAGACGAAAGGGCGGCAGCCAGCGTGAGCCGGCAGACGGTCACCTCCAGGG